TGCTGGTCACTAGCTGCCTTCCTGGTTGAGTCTGAGCAGCCAGACCCCAGGTCTTAAGACCACAGATGTGTCTCCCTCTATTCAGAAAGTCACTGCTGAGTTATTTCTGTGTCACTTGCTTGTCTTGGCTGTCTGTATAGAGGTTGTTGCCTCCCAGCCTCATCCTTCCTCAGCAGTTCTGTCCTGGTCCAGTATGGCTCTCTGGAGGTTGAAGGCTAAGATGTCAAGTCATAGTCATACCCATGGCTGCTTCCTCCAAGCCCTTTCCTAAGACCAGGTGCCCTCACCACTTAGCATGGTTGAGCTGCACTGGCCAGGGGGTGGAGGGCTGCCTTACAGGCTGGAGAGACTAGAGAGTGGCTTGCCAGGAAGAGTTAGAGCAGAAAAGCAAAACTTGTTTCGTTTTGCAAAGTGACTCTGATGGTCAGAGGGTTGAGGGTTGTGTTAAGATGGATTCAGGGGCTCACAGAGTTCCCTGACAAAGTATTGTCAACGTCGTAGGAGTGCAGAGGCACCACCCCGTGTGTGTGGCTGCTTAAGTGAGAACAAAGTCTTAGGTAGAAGGACTGCTCTCAGATGATTAGCCCTCATGTGTCTGGAGAGGAGGTACCACATGTCATCACAGTAGAGGCCACTGCCTACCTATAACCAACCTTACCCAAAGAGTCACATAAAGACCCCAGATCTCAAACTGCATTTTTATTGTTTTTTAATAAACTTTATTCTATATTACAAATAGTTTTTTTGTTCTGAACTGCAAAATAGGAATGCCTTATATTTACATACACAGGTATACAATTAATTATAACAAAGGTACAGAAGCTTGCCTTTACCAAGTTACAACTGGGCTCCAATTTAAATAGCATAGGTTTTCTTTTAAAAACTTTTTAAAATCTTTTTTTTTAAATCTTACTAGGATACTCTTCCTTAAAAATCAAAACCAGAAGACCCTCTTTTCTTTTTTTTTTCTTTTTCAGAGACCCCATCCACTTATCCTTGAGGCTCAGGGTAACACTGTTGTCTAAAGGTATATTTTGCTTTCTTTTTTCGAAGGATCAGTATTCAAGGGGAGAGTTTTGGAATAGAAGTGGGGCACGCTGCTGGAAAGGGGTGAGTGGTGAAGAGAACAGAGACGACCTGTCCTACCTTTCAGTGGCCTCTCGCTCAGACTACAAGGCCTCTGCAGCTGCTTAGCCCATACATCCATTTCTATTTCTCCTTCTCCTTTGCCCCCCTAGCATTTAGGGCTTAATTTTGGGTACTCTGGCCAGGCCAGAACCCCTGCTCTCTCCCACACTTTGGTTCTTGGAGCCATTGTCTTTGTGGTACCTGGAGTTGCTGGTTGCTATGGTAACTTGACAGGACCCTGCTGGAAGAGACAGAGGCTGCTCACTACATGCTAACTGGGGAGGAAGGCTGCATCCAACCTTTCCTCCCCATCTCAGGCCCGGGGACCTGGTTCCTTCTCAGAGCAGCTGACCCCGGACTAAGCCAAGATCACGTGTCTCAAGGACACCAGGCTCAGTAAGGGAGGGCTGTGGGGAGGGTCATCCATTCTCAAGCCATGTCATTGGTTTCCAAATGGAAACATGATTCTTTGAGGTAAACTAGCTTTTATTTTTAAAGAACGGAAGGTTTCATAAGCCAACAAACTGATAGGAACGCCAGGGAGGGATGGAAGGGTAGATGAGGGCATATAGCCCATCTTTGCCTTTTGCTCGAATGGAACTGATCTCTGCACGGGAACATTCCTCAGTCCTGTTTGCTGAAGGATTCTCTGCTTCAGAGTGTCTTTGGGGGTGCTGTTGAACTGTACCCTCTGCTGCTTTGAACTCTGTCTCATAAGGGAGCCCTTCCGACATGTGCTTGAGTCTTAAGTTTCAAGATACAAACAAAAGAAATGGGCAGAAGAGGCAGAATCAGGCTGATTAGCTGTCCACCTGCTTTTGTGTTACGGGGGAGGGGGAGCTTGGCTCCCCCCAAACTGACCTTCGGTGCAGTTTGAAGGAAGCTGAGAAACAATACGAAAGGATTCATCAATTCCAGAGTCAGCCCAGAGAGCTGGGATTAGATAGGAGCCCAAGGAGGAGGGAAGAGAGAGGAGGGTTGTGGAGACTCCCCAACCAAACCCTGCCACTTAGAGCCCTTGCCATCTCTTCCAGGACCTAGGACACAACATTCTCTTCACTCCTCAGGAACTTGTTCTGCCCAGCTTTCTGATAGCCATCAGTCTACTCAAGGGATTCCAACGGGACACTAATGAAAATGTTCTGGCTTTATAACCAAAAGACCTAAACAATTTTTTTAAACTTGAATGCTCCCTCAAGTAAAAAACAATATTATTGAAGAGCAATGATTTGTAGTAAAACAAAAAGTCTCTCCTAATATTTAAAACATTTCCTGCAGTGATTGCTTTCAAAATGGGAGGGATGGTGTGGCCCCCTCAGAGCACCAGGAGAAGCGGACAAGGCCCCAGCCTCTTTGGGGAGTTGCCCCTTTACCATCACCTGAAATGGTACCTCAGCTGCCCACTTATGAGAATAAAGCTTGAGTCAGGTGCATGCAGACCTGGGGTAAATCTGCCAGAGATGGGAGGAGTGGGCTCTGTCTGTCACAGGGGCAGGGGAAGCATGAGGGTATTAGCAGCCACAAGGATGCTTCCCCTGGCATGTGCACAGTTCACATGGGGGATTTCTGGACCCTCTTCTTTAATGGGGAGGCTATCTCACTCCCACCTTTAAACTTGCCTCATCTGTCTGTTTAGAAGTCACTGGAAGAATTTAGGAATTCTCTTTAACTCTTCCTCTCAATCATTCTATATCCTCAGCCAGGCTCCCTCATAACTTTCAAATTCTTAAGATAAGAGGCCAAAAACGAATGAACTACAAAAATAATCAACTATCCCATGTCTTTTTTTTCCAAAGGGAAGGGCTGTATGGTCAGGGTACCCTAGTCCTGAAAGGGTGGGTGGAGGCCCTTGATATGGGTGAGAAACATGGAGGAAAGGCCAGAGAAGAGCCAGGACAGCCAGCTACCTGGATGGGGTCACCTTGGTTCACTCACAGAAATGTCCCTGAACCCAAAGCTCCATTTAGGAGCTTGCTGGAACTGTCACTCAGTGCTTGGAAGGAACACAAGCTGAGTACCTGAGTCTCCCGCCTGATGAGTACTTCCCCATGTTTGTGAGAAAAGGGGAAACCTATTCCTGATTACAGGTCATTGGCCTTTCTCAGGGTGCAGCATTTACTTGATGTCTAGTAAAGCCAAAGGCAGAGAGTCTCAGGATAGAAGGCAGAAAGGAGGCTCTCCTTTTTATGTAAAAATGAGAGGTGCAGCCAGGCATTGGTGGCACATGCCTTTAATTCCAACACTCGGGAGGCAGAGACAGGCGTATCTCTGTGAGTTCAAGGCCAGCCTAGTCTCCAGAGCGAGTCCCTGTCCTAATTGGACAAGCAGGACACAAAGCAACTTCTGAACTTTGTCAAGACAGGGTAGGACAATCCTTCAAAATTCCTGTTTCAGGATAGGCTCCAAAGCTATACATAGAAACCCTGTCTCGAAAAACCAAAAAAAAAAAAAAAGGGGGGAGGTGCTTAGACCAGGATGGACCACAGTGGCATCGCTCAGGGTCCTAGAAAGAATGGCAGAGCCTTGCGTCTTCGAGAACATTTGGGATGCCATTGCTTATGGTTCCTCTAATGGAAGACCAGCAGGGCATTGGCTGGAGGAGTGAGACCCTATCACTCAGGGAAAGCAGCCAAAGCTAGGATGGGACAGCACTCACTTCTAATGGACTGAAGAACTGAATCACTCCTTTGGGGAGGCTCCTTGTATAGGAGGATCAAAGAGGAACAGGGAGGAAGCTAGCTGCCAGAGTGGGGCACAGTCAGGAGACAGACATGCACATTGGGGTGTGGGTATGGGGTGGTACATGGGCACTGAGGACCTCCAGGATGGAGTGTTAGGGTGGTGGACATGCTGGGCATTATATCAACATAACCCAGCGAAAGCAGGATCTAAGCCCACGATCACAGAAAGACCGTCTGTTAGCGACTCCTGCTTCCTTGGTTTTGTCCTGGATACTCTGCCTTGAGCTGTGGGATTCATTAAAAAGCATTTCTCTTTCCAAATGTGGCCCCACTCAGGCACCCACCCTGAGATCACTCCAGGGCTATCTATGGACTCCCAACATGGAGGCTCCAGGGGCTGGTTCTGGCCATGCATGTTGCACAGGGTTGCAAAGTACCTTGGTCTGGGGGATTCTCTGTTTATCTTCTGTTTCCATTTCTAAAACTGTGAAAGAAAAAGGCAAGAAAGTATTTTCCTGAGGAAGTAACTGACACAGAAGCTAAGGACTTCATGGCACTAAGAAACATCGCAGAGTCTCCTTACAGGGCAGGATGACGACAGAACCAGACCACGCCCACACCTAGCAAGACATATACCACAGAGAAGTAACCAGAAGTAACCGGCCTGCAGATACCTTCCTAGATCTTTTTTTATACTTTCTTTTGTGTTCAGGACCCCATCAAACTTCCTGCTGGTCTTCTCCCTTTAAGAGTCAAATCCTCATGTGGACATTTATTGTGTGCAATCAGTACCATTTTGACCAGTAGTGTCAGGAGCAGGATGCAGGGGTGAGGTGAAGGGGATGTGAGAGACAATACCTACTCCCACACACATACCCTCTGAACAAACCCCAAGAGATAAAGTTTCCACCTTCAACAGATCTGGGACACCCTGCAAGTGAACACTGGATAGAGGGCGAGGCACCTCTTTGTCGTATGTCCTAGTTTCTCTTAGTTTTCTGGAAGCTCACAGGCCATTGGGGTCTCCTAGCTGCTAAGAGGAACTAGAAAATCCCAAGGGGGAGTTTGGAAGGAATATCTGGGAGGATTTGACAGATTTTGGGCAATGTTGCCTAGCCTTGCTTTTAAATGTATCACACTTGCAATAAAAAAATCAAATGAAAAACAAAAACAAATACACAAACAAACAGCAAAAGGGAAGGTTTTTACAGGTAAGATGGGTGTCAATTTCTGAGTCCCCAAGCAGGCCACAGGGACTGCCTACGAAGTGCCAGAGAGAACCCATATCACCAAGTAAAGTAAATAATCTGCCTAGAGCCCTCCTCAAGAGAAATGAGGAGACCCAGGAAACCCAGGCAAGAATGTCTTGCTTCTTTCTTCCTGATATGTGTATTTCTCTGAGGTGTTTGAAGTTTTGTTTGTTAACAAAAGCAAGGAAAAAAAACTGTACCAACAAAATAATAACACTAAAATCATCCAGAAAAAAAAAAGCATCAGCAAAACCATGGTAAAAGTCTCTTTTTGCTGCTTGTTAATTTTTTTCTAACTGTGCAAAACTTAAAAATCAAAGCACACTTGTACCCACACACACACACACACACACACACACACACACACACACACACACACCTTCCATCCCACAAATCTGTGTTAAATATGTTCATGCCTCTCTCTCCCCATCCTTCATATGTGCAAAAATACTTTCTCAGCTGAGGTGCTCCCTCATTCTGACCTCCACATGCACCCTGAAGCCTGCCAGGTCCTGTAGCTTCGCGGAAGAAAAACAATAATCAGTGATAGAAATTCCACATCTCCACCTGGCACTTGATTTGCCAAAACCTTTGGTGTTTTGATTTTTTTTGCCGTCACCCCTCCCCACTTCCAGTGAATCTTTCCATGTCTTTGCCATTTTGTCCACAGCAATGTCACATGGTGCTGCCTGCTCTGGGGTACCAAAGTTCAGCCTTGGCAGGTGACATCCTGATTTCCTACGGACAGAAAATACTCTTACCATACACACTAACATTCAGTGAAGTATACTGACACTGAAGGACAGACGGATGAGCCAGGGGACAGAGAAGGAGACCATCTCAGCATCCTCTTAGATGGGACAAGAAATCTTTCCAAGCTTCCTGCAGATTCCTAGGTGCCTCCCTCCACCCTGCTCTCTCATATGCAAAGAAGCTGCTGTCCTTAAAGGTGCAGGGTGACACATGAACTTGGCTTGAAACTTGGCTCCTTCTCCATGTGAGGCTCATTTTAGGTTATGGGAAGAAGTGACGTGATGCATGGAGCGTGAAGGAAGGTAAGAATGAGGGATGCTATTAACACCACCTTCTCCAATGCCTCTCTTGTCTCCATGAGTGATGGACAACAAACCCGAGCTGCCAAAAGAGATTCTTGCTTACGCTAGAGACTGGGTCATTCACTATCTAAGATCCCTTCAAGGTTGTAGATGACCATCTCTTGTCATAACCACTTGTTACATTTCTGAGCACACATTTGCCTGAGTGGCTAACACAAAATGGCATATCCACAGATGGAAAAACACAATGGAAAGTTAAATGCCAAGGCCGTGGTTAGTGGTATGCACTTTTCTCTGTATCCAACCAGGTCCCTCACGTGGCTCTCCAGTCCCTTCCAGGCATAAGCTGGTGGCTGAGGCTGGCTGGCATCTTGTTCTGTCTTGGTGAGGCTGTGCTTAAGTATGTTTCCTCCAATGATGACTTCAGAAGGGACGGGGGAAGAAGGACCACCGAAGAGACAGCTGATATGTTGATGAAACAATTCCCACAGAGGTCTGGACAGTCCAGTGACAAAGTCATCTGCATAGCAATGGCACCAGATTCTGAAGGAGGGGCAGGGGCTGGGCTGTCTGCCCTGGCCTTCTATGGTGTTCTCAAAGACAGTGGGGATGGAGCCTTGGAGATGGCTGGAGGTAGAATCTCCTAGATGCACTCTGCATTTCACTGTGAGCTTTGATGATGGTGGCAAAGGAACATGGAGATGCCTTCTCTAGACAACATACGAGGCTCTGGCAATGGACCTCTGACTATGGTCAGGATGCATTTGAACTTGGGGGTGAATAGAGAACAATAAATGTTGCTTCTGGCATAGATGATACTCTCTTCCCTTTTTTTTTCTCTCTCTCTCTCCATGTTACATTTCTGCTATTAGGAACCAGATTAGATGGTGTAGGAGCTTCTCCATGGTGGAAGGTAACTGTTAGCTTTCTCTTGTCCCAACTTTTCACAGGAAGGGGAGAAAGGCCTCCAAGGCTGTGGGAAGGGGATGGAAGGCTTCTGGACATCAAATGTGTAGGCAGTGGCCCCTGAGAGAGCATCTTTAAACTTCTACTGGTCCCCACTCCAACATTTGTAGGAGGCAAGGCCTTTTTTTGTCACAGTTACAAAGCACCCAGGCCACTGCCTAGTCCCTTGTTGAGTGTGTGGAAAGGGAGATCCTAGTGATGTCTCCTACTTCAGATAATACTGAGCTCACAGTTGCTTCCCGAAGCCAGGTTTTGGACCACAGTTTGAATTCTCAACGCAGAAGGTGAAGTAGCAGCATAGGAGTGTTCTCCGTCCTCAGCTCCTCGTCTGCTGCTGATGCATGGGGCCAGGAGCAGCTGGGAGGGAGAGCCTCACTCTGACATCTTCTGGTCAGGTCTCTCACCATGGGTCTGGCCGGCCCTGGACTGACTGAGGGTCAGTGACGTGGTCCAGTCACACTGACAGAGCAACTGAGAGAGATGGGACTCCGGAAAGAGGGAGAGACAGGAGAGAGAGAAAAAACGAAAGGAGAGACGGCGGCGCTGCTGGGGGTTGCTGCTGCTGATGCCTGTCGGAACTTGCACTTGGTAAAGATGATAATCTAGACTGAGGCACGGCTTGGTGTGTCCCTCCCTCCAGGATGGCCCTGGAAGGACAGTTCTCAGCTGTCTAAGCTCATGAGGGTTATGACTTGTTCTAGTTTGTAAGCCAGTTTCTGCTTCCCACACTGGTCATCATGGTCCAGGGGTCCAAGGATCTGTGGAAGGATGGAAAATGGAAGATTACTAGTCTGGGTATGTGTACCTGTGTTTCTAGTATACACAAAGGCAACATGGATGTTGTCAGGGATTAGTATACCTGTTGCCAGTGATACTGTTGTGTAAGCAAGCAGCCTGAGTGGCACAGGTGAGAGGAGGTGGGAGGCATAAGGGTACCTATGTCACCAGCAGCACGGGATACCAGCACATACACTGTCACATCTGGATAATGTGTGCATTCCATTGTCTGTGAGAGACAGTGGCTGGAGGGAAAGCTTTGCTAAAGAGACCTACAGAGAAGCCATTGTTTCCTCTGTCTCAGTGGCATCTGGGGAGTTCCATAGCCAGTGCAGAAGTGGGGTGCTGGGGGGCTTTTCTAATATTAATTAGTCCTACTTTCCTTCCACTGTAAGGAAGACCTTCCCCAGTACCTCCTTGGGACCGAAATATCCACATTTAGAAAGTCAATTGACTTAACCTTGTCTGTTAAAGGCCAAATATCCTTATGAAGGAATAAGGTTGTAAGTTGAATATGCTTTCCATTCCTATTCTATAACTGACATACAGTGGCTGGGGTCTCCCAAACCCATCCTGAGGTAAGGCAATTGAACAGAGGACAATAATGGGTGACTCAAGACAAGCCACACCAAGTCATGGTTCTGCCAGTTGCCAGCATGGTGTTATGGGGTAAAACATCTTTCTTAAGGATCGTCATGCTTCCTTTTCTGGAATCTACCTCTGATTTGCTTGGGTCCCGTCGATAAGGCCAGGACACACACACGAGCTCCCTGGGCACAATGCCTGCTCCACAGGAGGCACCAGGCCAGCAGGGTGGGATGTTCTCTGGTCTGAAGGGCAGGGATGAGGGTTGGAGAGCCAAAAATGCTGGCTGAGCTTAGGGAAACCTGAAGGTTCCTTAGGCTTCTGATTTCGTGACTAATTAATGCATATTTAATTGGGGCACATCATGCTAGAGCTGCCTACTGAGCTGGCCAGGAATTATCCTTTATCACTGTGATACTAAATGTTGACAAGTGTTCTGTCAGGTGATGGGATGGTCCTTTCCAAGACGAAGCAGGAGACTTACAGTGTTGCATCACAGAACATCCTTGTTAGCTTGACTGCCACAAACAGGAACACTTTTCCAGGGAGCATAACTGGTCTGGAGACCAGTGGCAGTGGTCCCATCCCTAAGGGACTCACCACCACTTTCCGTTAACATGAGGGTCATATAAGGTCATATAATATTGTTCATTGGCTGCAGGACACTGGGCTCTACATCTGCTAGGATACTTGAATTTCTCTGGGTGACAAGGCTGTAAGGAATAAAAGCGCCTGGGCACTGGCCTTCTCTCTTGGTATTCCTGTCTTCTGCTCCAAGAAGGCTGCTATGCTGTGCTTGGATGCGGGGACTCTGGATCCCAAACCACTGAAGTCTGTATCCACACAGCTAAGCACCTCCCATAGCACCTTTGTGTTAGCCAGAATGAAGGCAGAATCTACAGTGGCAGTTACCTAGGTGGTATTTTCCAAATGGTGAATACAACAATAAAAAATATGCTTTCTATTCCTATTTTGTTCTGGTTTTGCTTATTCCCCTTCTATGCCATTCCTTTCTGCTCTGTCCATCTATTCCACTCTATTCTTCCATTCCACTCTCTTCCATGTGCCCCCATCCTATTTCACTCTGTTTCTATTCTGCTCCGGTCTGTTCAGCTCTACAGGAAGCCATAATACACCAAGCCATCCACAAGAGCAAGGAAGTCCTTGCTCAATGAGAACTGGATCAGAGAGGAAAATGAAAAGAATTTAAACAATAACGGAGAAAGAATAAGCTAGGTCTTGTGGGGCATGCTGTATTCCTAGAAACTTTGGAAGTCTGAAGCAGGTGGCGAGTTCAAGGCCAGACTGGGGTCTGGGGGTGCAAAGTGAACTCAAGATTAGTCTGGCCAATTTATGGAGACTATCTCAAAATGAAAAGTGGTAGAACTCTTGCCTATCATGTGGGAGGCCTCAGATTCAGTCCCAGGGCAAGGGACAGAAAGGGATAAAAGAAACAGATGTCTGTATCTGAGAAGACTAGAATCTGATGCAGATGTGAGGATCAGCACATCCTCAGTACCCATTTCAGACCCTCGGTGCTGCCCTGGGTCTGGCTGGTAGAATTTCCCTAACAGAAGCATCAGGGGGCATCTGTGGGGCTATTTCTGTACACAAAGCATTCAGACATGCTCCTCATCTCTGCCTCTATAGGCCCTGGCAGGGCAGGGCAAAGCTTACTTCCTCACTGTATTTGCCCACGTAGGAGAAGATCTCTGAGAGTGCGCTCATCGTGTTGAATTCATTCATGTGCATCCGTGACTGCTCGGCCAGGTATGCATTCATGTCCTGGTCACTGATCGCTGGCATCTTCCCAATGTCTGAGTAATATCTGTGAGGGGTGGGAGACAGAGAGGAGTTGGAATCTAATCAGAGAGTGTACAGGAGACATGGAAGCTCCAAGCAGTGAGACCCTGTGCTGTGACCTCCTGGGGATCATAGTAGTGACCCCTCTGGGTTTCTGTGCCACAGCCAGGGAGCACTCTCTGCAGCTCTGACATAGGAGGCACAAGGGGGACGATATGAAAGGGTGGAGAGAGAAGAACCAAGAGTCAGAGGGCTTCTGCCCACGGCATCTACTTTGTTCTGAGCTCCCGTCATAGGGCTCCAGCTTGCCTTGGGCCTCCCCAGAAGGACTGGAGGGTTCTTCTGAACAGTTGCTCTTCCCTGATGGCCTGAGCTCTCTGGAGGTTAGGAGAGAGATGGGGGGGCTGCCGGGAGAGAGAGGCTGGCAGAAGGCAATCAGTCACTGTCACTTGCAGCTGTGCACTGCTGTCAACTGGTTAATTAGATGCCAGCATTTACATTTTTAATTTCTGCAATTTGACATTTTATGCACCAGACCTCCGAGCCCCCCCGCCAGAGGAGAGCTGTGTAGTTTCCTAATGAGGAAGTGAGAGATCTCTGTACCCCTGACACAGCCACGTTTTTCACCTTCTACCATGTGCTTTGGGGTTGTAGGTAGCAGGAAAAGAGGAGGGGCAAGTGGAAAGATGGGGAGTCACTGGCAAGTCAAGAGGTATTGCAGTTGCTGATCCATGGTAACACCAAGTCCCTGGGCTTCAGGGCTAGAGTCAGCAGCAGGAGGAACTGAATGGGGGAAGGGAGAAGAAATTCCAGGGAGGGGACAATGACGTGCCAGCATGGTGTTTAAGGAAGGAAACTCCTTCAAGGTTTATGACTACTGGTGACAGTGATGAGCCTTTGGATCTCCAAGGTCTCAGGCTTCCATCACAAGGTGACCCTGTATCTTTCTTACTGGTCCTGCTGTGTCTTTCTCAGTTTATATCCCTTCCTGTTCCGACAGGGTGCTCCTGTCCTATCCCCATGCCATTTGCCCAACTCCTGCCTGTCCCCAACAGTTCTCAGTACTTGGGTGACAGGCTGTCAGAAATGGTCTTGGCTCCTTCAGCCATCAGCTCCAGGGAAACAGTGAAAGACAGCTCAATTTGTGACCAGCATCTTCCCAGGCAGGCAAGGGCTGAGATGGCCATTTGCCTTGGGCCACTGTCTGCTGGGATTGCCACTGCGTCTTCAGGGAAGAAGAAGTAAAGAGAAGATGTCTGGTCTCTGGCCAGGGAAGGGGGTGATCAGAGGGAAACGCCTGTGGCCTCAGAAGCCCATTTGCTGGAGCAGACACAATGCCCACTGCCTGTTGAGTGGATCCCGCTGTGGCTGGCAAGGAGGTATTGGTCATGGCCTGCTGCCTAGGCAAGAATAAGACAAAGGCTGAATGATGAGGCCTTTTAGGAAGGAGCTGGAGGACATTTGTAAGATGCACTGCCCTCGGTTCATCTGGACTTCATCCCGCCCTTCACAACACTCTCTCCCATCCCCTTCTTGTCCCCAGAAGCCCACATCCTTGGCCTGCTTGAGTTTGGTTCCTTTACCCCAGATGACCACCATCTTCTTTTCAAGGCAGTCTTTACCCTAAAGCTGTCTTGGTGCTCCAATATACAGGGTCTGGGTGAGTTAGTGACATTCCAGGTAGTAAAGGTCCAGGAGGTGTCTCCATTCATGGCCATGAATAAACTATATCTGGATCTAATAAATGCCAACATTCCATTTTACAGCAGAAGAACAGAGGTTTCTCTGATAGGTCCTGACCTTGCCATTGCTAAGGAGATTTGCACCACTGTGCCCTCATGGATCCTGTAACTACCAAGCCAGATAGGTTTGCCGAGGAAAGGTTATCTTCACAGTCCTATGCCTGAGAAGCATGGACAATGTTGTCTCTCATTTTCAGCACTATGGCCAGCAGCTCATGGAACATGGCTGTGTCCAAAGCTTTTGTTCAGACAGTTCTACTCTGTCATCTGTTTGAAAACCAGAGCCTCCAAGCAGGACTGGAAAACTCGGGTTCCCACAGAGAAGACATAACTGTCAGTAGAAGCGAAGACCCCTGCTGTTCCTGTTACCTGCATGTGAAACTGTCAGGCTTCTTACAAACAGTACAGGCTCCTACTGCTGCATGGTCCCTGACGTGACTCCTGCAGGGTGCTTGAGTAATATATTTCGACAAAGAGAATATTTAGGAAGAATTCGTGTGTGTGCACACACACAGAGAGAGCGAGAGAGAGAGAGAGAGAGAGAGAGAGAGAGAGAGAGAGAGAGAGAGGCTGGGGAGGGTTGGAGAAATAAGAGTGGAGAGGGCAAGAGCAGGGACTGGAACCTTCTAATCTGAAGGTGATGGGTGGCATGTTGCCTAGGATGTGCCTTGCAGTCCTTTCCCTGCTATCTCTGATGTGACATCAGGTGTGTGCCACCACCCCCCATGGCCTCTTCTCTTACACTCCTCTTTCATTGAGGAGACTGGACTGGACAGGGGCATGTCTGTGGTCCTCTACTAGCCCCCAGGTGGATCAACTACATGGCTTTATCTTTGGAAACTTCTGGATGGGTGAAGGCAAGTGGTTACAGGCTACTCAGTCACTGGCTTTCTACCTTGTTCTCAACCCCAGGCTGCCTGCTTCTAAGTGGTCCCACCCTCTCTGCAGGGCTTAGCTCAAACTTCTACCACTCCAGGGCTCTGGCCAGCCCACAGCTATCCAGCCCACCCCACCCCCAGCCTGACTATGACTCTGTGTGGAGTCTTCTCTGCCATGTATACAATTGCTTCCTTCCTATTCCTGCCAAGCTGGCCTTCATGCTGGGACCTCAGCAGAGATGCCTTATTGATTGTTAAGAATGCGATAAAGCCCTGACAACAAACTTCAAACAAGTGCTCTCAGCAGCTGACTGCACACAAAGAACAGAAAGGTCAACCTTGACCCCCTTCTTAAACTTACAGGATTTCTGCCTACAATGAGCCCCCTCTTCAGAGAGGCTCTGAACATCCCCTAGTCCGCCTCTCTCATACCAGGGCCGGCCAGCCCTGGCAACCTGGAAGACTGGCTGCCATTTACTATGACCAAGAAGGACTGGGTCCCTCTCCTGGCTTCAGCTCACTCTCCTTGCTGGGCTTTGCCCAACTTAGGTGGGATGCCAGCCCTTAGGGGCCCCACATCAGAGCTCAGGGGCTGCTATTCAGGGAAAGGTCCCAGAAATCTGGATTCTTCCATGTTCATAGGTCCGAGTATGATGGGTTGAAAGAAGTTGGAAGGAGTCTTCAGCTGAGAGCTGAGTCTTCAGCTGAGAGGGTGGGAATGCAGACACGAAAGCCATTGGCGCCTCGGGCTATGATGCCCCCACATGTGGCTCAGAGGCCTCTTTGAATGGATGACTGATGTCTCCAGACCCAGCAGAATGAGGGCCTCACTCCTTTATCCCCTCAACTCCAGCTTATAGATCCTACCAGACACTCAGATATGGGAGCTGCTGTGTGGGTCAGGTCTAATGTTACTATGTGCCCAATACACCCAGAGTGGAGCCCACGGAGGCATCAGTGTCAGCCTAGTGGATGCATACGTGAAAAACCAGCTGCCCAACCTCCCTTCAGTGCTGCTTCCAGGGCCAGCTTTACCTTCATCTCTAGCTAAAACCTGGCATCTTGGTGAGTACTGACCAGTAGCTATATGGCACAGAATCCATTTGGGCTCCTTAGAAGGTACATTTAAATGTTTACAGTTTGTTGCCTTCTCAATGCTATGGTGCATGTCATAGATGGCATTTAATGTGTGGCGCACAGTGGTGCAGACCCTAGTGGGCCAACAGCAGCTCTTCTCTACTCAGCTCCTACAGACAAAATCTGCAGATGATAAATGAGTGCGGCTCGTGTTGATAGGGACAGCCTTGAGAGTCTCCCAGGCTAAACTCAGAGGGTGTGATATTCATGTAGAAAATGTCATAATGAAGCCCATTACTTTGTATAATAAATATAAAAATTATCTTCAAATAAACAACAACAAAAAACAAAAACAAAGGAAAGCCAAACCAAATAAAAGTAGAGTTCATCGTTACTGGTAATATGGTAGAAGGGATAGCCAGTCATATGTCAGCTTCGGGGGTCTGTACTCTTGGGTTCCCTCAGTGAGGTCAGTGCAGCAGCCAACAGTTCTGAGGAAAGCAACAGGCTCTCCTCTCTGCCAAAATTTTTAACCACAAGCAAAAACCCAATAGGGCGAGTAAAGGTGGGAAGTCTTCAGGGGTCACCACCACTACCATGGCAAGGAGTGTGGAGGCAGAAGTGGGATGGAGGGCTGGAGAGAGGATGGACGGGAAGATGGATGCTATGAATGCATGCTTATACATATGGTATATATGTACATGGACATGGGGACATGGATGGCATGGAGATATATGTATGTATGCAATTGTGGTTTCATGTCTATACAGTATATGTGTGTTCATGGTACCTGTGCATTCATTCAATACTGGGAATGCATGTGTATATGGTCTATGCATATGCAGAGTATATATGCTACATGTGTGTGTGTGTGTGGGTGTGTGTGTGTGTGTGTGTGTGTGTGTGTGTGTGTGTTGGGGAAAGAAGATCAGGGATCATAACTTCTAGGACAGAAAGAGACACTTCACTAAGAGCCATGCTATTCTATAAGGGATGTGGGTCACACAGTAAGCTCTGCCGTGGTTCACAATGCTTGCTTCAATGTGGAGGCCATGAGCTGTGGGTGTTTCAGCTGCAGGATCAGCTGCGGCAGGGACTAGTTGGGTAGCTTTGTCCTGTTTGCAGGGGAGCACTGTCTGGTCCAGGGTTGTGGCCTGTTCCAGCCAGGTACCCTCCATGGGCCGTACTCACCTCTCCACCCAGTTCTTGTAGCTGGGGATGTCCTTGGCATAGAGCAGCTTGTTGGAGGGGGAGTCCTTGCCCAGCCGGTGCTCCGATGTGGAGCAGGAGTCCATGAAGGTCTGGGCCACCACCGAGAGACAGGCGTCCGTGATGCTGTTCTTGTGAATGTCGAACACAAACTGAGGATTCTTGATCATGTTCACCCAAAACCGCAGGGGCAGGCTGTGGAGGGAAGAAGCAGGGGTGATGGGGTGTTGGGGTGTGGCTAGATTTCACAGAGCTTAGGAACCATATGTGACTGCCATGGAAGGTAAAGGGGACAGGAAGGGACGTGGGTCTATTCAGCACACAGGAAACCAGCGAGGTTGGGATCTTGTCTAGAGATGTACCCCTGGCGGAACCTGAGAGGATGTGATACCCAGTTGTGATAGGGGCTCTTCCCCTTCCTGTTGGCATAGGAGTTAGCTACGTGTGTGCTTCAAAGCAGAGTTGGAACTCTATTCCTATCTGCCTGATGCTGGGACCATCCCTTGGGTGGACTTTAAGGAAATCTTTAAGGTTTTGCATCTGATTGCTTACTGGGTGACTTGACAGAAGTCACACCCTTGCTCCCTGCCTAGTTCCATAAGCTACGTCCTGCCTGGTGAAGGAAATGGCACTGTGGAGGGGTGGGGGGGATATGACCAAATGATCCTTTACCACCAGTCTGCCACATAGCAACAGCACCTGAACTAACCCACAGTATCCCATCCCTCTCCTCCTATCCTCCAGTCAGTACCTATTGCCTTCCAAGAGCTAGGCTAGCAACAGGGAATGCAATGACTGAGACGCATCCCCTGTCTTCAGGAACCCTGCATTCCAGGTTTGTAGGGAAGACACATGCAGCCAAGCACACACAAATCACATTTGCTGTTGAGAGCAGAGAATGTAGGGCTGAGCGAGGTGCCAAATCCACCCAGAGCAGCCCATGCAGAGCCTTCTCAGAGGGGACACTTGATGAGTTTGTTCTCCGTTGTTGTTGTATGTGTTAGTGTCTAAAGGAGGGGGGTATACCTTTGTGACTGTACATGTGGAGGCTAGAGGCCACCCTGTAGCCTTGTATTTTTTAGTTTGCCCTTTTGAGACAGGGTCTCTTTTGGCCTGGGGATCATGGACTAGGCTAAGATGGCTGGCCAGAAATCTTCGGAAACCCTCTGGCCTTGGTCGCTCTGATGCTGTCTTATAAGTGTATACCACCATAACCAGCTTCTTCTATAGGTGCTGGGGATTAAATTTGGGTCTTCATGCAAGCATGGCAAACACTTTAGCAACCAAGCCATCTCCCCCCCCCCCCCCCCCCCCCCCCCCCCCCCCCCCCAACCGCTTTTTTTTTTTTTTTTTTTTTGAGAAGGGATCTCATGTAGCCCAGGCTGTCCTTAAATTTACAATGTAGCTGAGGATCCTTCTGCCTCCACCTCTCAAGTACTGAGGATATGTGTGTGTACCACAACACACAGTTTTAGGTGGTGTTGGGGAGCAAACCTAGGGCTCAAACATCCCCAGGCCCATGCTTGATTTATTTTAAAAACTCTGCATTGGTATATTCCTTGGATGGCTGCAGTTAGGGAATCCACATACAGAGACAAAGAGGAGAAAATTATGCAATGCAGCCTGGTTCTGTAGTCACTGCGTTTGCTAGACAGAAGGCTTGCAGGAGGAGAGCTTTGGGCTGTGCTCTCCCTGCCCCTTCTAGCTTTGCAGCTCCCACCAGCCAGCTGGGCTGCCAGTAAGGAGGGGGACAGAGCAGGCACCACTTTCTTCTTTCTCTTTGCTTCTACCTCTTTGCCTCCCGCCTCTTCCCCTGATGTTTTATTGTTGTTTTGGTGGCTGTGCTCACGGTTGGTGATAGTTACAATGCCCGCGTGTGTTTGGCTTGCCTCTTAGAACTTAACATCTTTGAATTACATTATTTCAAGGCACTGGATACAATATTTTTGCTCTTGTTCTAGCTGCCAGCAGCCAGTCTGTATAATACAGACAAACACTGTAAATACAGGACAACCTGACATTCACAGATGCCAATCAATCAACAAGCATTTAGTAACTCTCTGCAATGAGTGCCACATAGGGTTGGGGCAAGCACACTGAGGTCTGCTAATACTTGGTGTCTGTCATTCGCTTCATCACTGAGAATTCAGGATAGAAAGTAAATGGATTGAGAGCACCTGAGTATTGAGGCTCACAGTAGCTTCTCAGCCTCCCTAAGAGGTGGCTATGATCTCTGGGCTTGGAACTCTGAATAAGAGACTCAGTTTCCCTACCAGTCTATTCTCCTGTTCCAATCTTCCTGGGTTTCCCTAAGTCCCACTCAGATCAGAAGGGCTAGGAACCCACAAGGCTGCAGTAACTGTTTTTCCCTGTCCCTCAAGCCTGTAGGGAGGCAGGTGTACCACACAGGAAGCAGAGGCACCACCGAGGCTCCTGCCTAATGAAATATTAGCATGTTATTAACATCAATGGTGATGTTAATCTCCAACTGATTGCAGCCACTCCGGCTAAATGAGAAGGAGTGTTATTTAACAGAGAACCTGTAGGGAACTGGGGAAGACAGGGTGGGGGAGGCAGGCAAGTCACACCTTGAGTCAGGAATAAAGAGACAATGCCCTCAGCAGGGACGATGAACTCGAGACCACATGTAGAGCTGATCATTCTTAATTGCATCTTGTCTGAGGTACCAGGGGGTCAGGGGCAGATGCCCTTCTGAGGGAGAACTTGAAGCTGGTGTAGTTCTCTCTATGGTAAGTGGCGTGTGCTTACTTTCTGAGTGGAAATTTCCATGGCTCAGTCCATGTCTCTATGCAGCACCTGAGACCTTGGGATGACTCACAAAGGAGGCTGGCACCTAGGGGTGGTTTGCAAAATTCTCTCTCCCTGGCCAACACCCATAGGGCTTGGTGGAGCACCTGCTCCATGTGAAGGTGACTGATACTAGGTAAAGATTTTGTTGCCAGAGGCATGTAGACTCACAGGTGCTGCCTCTCAGACTCCTCCCAAGAATCACACTGACAGGAGTTGAGAGGAGGAAGCCACTTCACAAGAGTGGCTGCACTGAATGGAACCCAGTTTCCAGGGGCCCTGCTTTATTAGGATGGTAAGGATGATGCCTGGGCTGAGGATCTTTTTGGGTTAGTACTCCTCTGCAAGAGGCAGAAGGAAAGGCCATAGCATGCTCAGGAGAATAGCACCAATACCCCAGGCTGACTTCTGCCTCAGTTTTCAGGTCTGGGCCCCTGCCTGGGCATCAGGGTGCCTGTCTGTGGCCTGGATCATGGCCGAGCCTGGTAGTTATAGCACTGGGTACCACTCCTATGCTGCTTTAGAAGGAAAAGCTGGGGAAGAATGGCCTGGACAGGGGACCATCTAAAGGTGACCAGGATTCAGTTCTAGAGGATGAGACTAAACCTCAGCTAGCTGTGCCCCAGGTAAAACTCTCAGGCAGGCCATCGCTGCCCGTGTCTCATCAATATTTACTGAGCCCCATTTCCTCAAGGTTCTGCGTTCTGTGTTGAATACTGATGCCTGGCCTTGTGACTTCAACCTCAAATGAAGCACCCACTATATACAGACGGCACGGAGGATGCTGTGCATTTAAAAGAGAAAGCGGACCTCAATGGAAATGCTTGGAGTGCTGTCAGTGGTTAGAAAATCCCGCGTCCCCCCAGGGAATACAAACTGATTCTTAGCAAGTTTGGAAAAGGAGCCGGAGAAGGAAAAGATAAGCTTATTGGGTGGAATTAGAATCCAGGTGCCATCTGCATATGCCTCGAGACCCTCCTGACAAGACTTCATGAAATGCCGTTACTCAATGGCCCTGTCCAACGCATGCATTTTCCTATGCTGCTATTTGTGCATGTATATTGACAACAGTCTCTCTTATTCCATATGCCAGCTTACTGACGACAGGGACTCTGTCTGACTTATTGCCCCACACCGAGAAAGTAGCTGGATGTGACAGTGGCCTGGATGTGGTGGCATATATTATCTTTTGCTCATTGGATTCGTATAGTCCATTGACTGGATATCTGGTTGGAAAGGTACACAGACAGATTAGAGAAGGGGGTAGGCAAGAAGAGGGGGAAGACCAGAGAGTGTGGTTGAGTGGAGACCCATAGAGGAGGTGGAAGTGGCCAGGTGCTCTCTAGGAAACCTGTCTCTGATGCAGGCCTGGGTGGGCAGGTCACTGACCTCTCTAGACACACCCTTCCACCCTTTACTCACCAGTTGCTTTTCCAGGTATGGCGGACATGTGGGTCATGGATACCATGCTTATCAGCCTGCTCATCGAGGAAGTCAAACATGTACTTGATGGCTAGGGGCAGAGCAGAACCACGGTGGGCTGTACTGAAGATGGTCTCGAACAGGTCATCCACAAACTTCTGCAGTGTGCCCTGGGGAAGGGGACACATTTAGGTCCAGCCAGCCTAGGCAGCTCAGAGGAGGAGTTCGAAAAGCTACCTTGTGGACAGGGCGAGCAAGGTCAGTGCACTGCCTCCCTGCTAAGAAGGAGAGTGGGGGTCACCATGCATCAGACCTCCCCCCCCCCTTCACAGGACTCTGGCAGTGCAAAGACCACAGACAGATGACAGGGCCAATACTACCTTCCTCTGCCAGCTACAGGGTTTGGCTTACATCTAGGCCGGTGACAGTGTGTCACTTTTTGAAATGCTAATGAGCATGCTTGGTCAGAGCTGACAAATACAAGCTAACAAATACTGGTTCTGTTTGGCTACTACCCACCCTGGCTAGTGACCATCTGGGTCCACGGAGAGACCAGAGAACCTAGACTCTGAAGAGAAAGGCTAGAACCGTAAGCATGGAATAATCCCCAGGGTCAGGGCTAGAAATGGCATCAGCAAAGTTTTGGATACAGCCCCAGTTTCTGTCCTTAGTGATGGCGCCTGGCACCCCTGGGTTAGTGAGAGAATTGGGAATAGAGGTACCAAGTGTCTGTAGCTGAGGAAGGGTGCTGAGGAGGGTGGGACTAACACTTTGGATTGTATGCTCATGTCCGCTGGGATCTGCCTGGAGTGACAGGTTGAGCAGGGTCCTGTAGCTCAATCCTAAGGCATCCCAGACCCACCTGATGCCAGAGCACAGCAAAGGGGGGTGGCGCGCACTTAGCAGCTGTGCCAGCATTTATGCGCATGTATGGTGTGTAGCTATGCCTGTGTACAGGTGTATGTGCATATATGTTTACATATATGGAAGCCTGAGGGCAACCTCAGAGTGTCTTCCTCCATTCCTCTCCACCGTTTTTTTTTGAGATGGGATTTTGCTGAACCTGGAGTTTGCTATTTGGCTAAACTGACTGGCCGGCAAACCCCAGGCAGTCTCCTTTCTCAGCCTCCGCAGCAGGAGCAAGACACTGTGCACAGCTTGTCTTTTCTAATGAGGACTTGAGGCTATCAACCTTGGGCTCTCATGCTTGTCTGGCAAGCTCTTTACCAACAGCACCATCTCTTCAGCCCTCAGCCCCCAGTCCCAGTGTTTTCATGGCACACTTCTGCTCTCATGTTCCATACCTTTGTGGCCAGTAGCCGCGTCAGATAGATTTCAGACACCATCTTGCTCCCCCGGTCCCCCTCCTTCTGGTCTCCATGCTCATGGTTCTTCACCAGATGCCACAGCTTGACCCCAGTTTCCAGGTCAGGGGTGATCATGGGTGTTCGGGAACGGAGGCTGTCAGGGCTGCCTGTGTACCGGATCATGTTTTCTGCCGATGTAAAGAACGCAGCCCAGTACGAGTGAGACTCTACAATCCTGAACCCAGAAACTCCAGCATGCTCCTCTCCCCAGCCAAGGCCACTGTTGTCTGATCCTTCCTGCCACTGGCTGGTGCTATTTCCTTGCCTCAGTGTGGCACATTCCCCGAAATGCTTATGTCTTTCCTGCCACCTCCAGGAATTATCTCTAGCGAATTCCACCCACTTAGGCTGCCCTCCTCCGGTACTTGGCATTGAGTCAACCCTTAATTATTCAATTTGTAGAAATGTAAGCATGTTCTTCTTTTACACTTTTCCTCGTGCTTGCTTTCCAGTCCTATAGCATGTGTGGCCAATTAAGTGCCCATGTAAGAACAGGTAGGCTGTCTCCCTTAATCAATCTTGGGCAGGTGAGAGCTCACCGTGACATCTGTTTGTCTTTGTTCTCCTCCTTCCTGTATTTTGAGTTGTGGTGAACGGGAACTAAACAGTTAGAGAATGATGTCCTACTATGTCCATCTGTAGCCTATATGTTCACCTCTTTATTGTCTACAACACCCTGCGATGTTCGTCTTTTTTTTCTTCTAAACCCTGCTTTACAACAAGAATGTCACTGCACAGGGTGGCCAGGTGTCCCCCAGCACAAAGGGATGGAGCAGGGCATCTTTGGAGCGTCCACCTTGTATTCAGAGTCCTTTTCCTTCTTTCCCTTTCATGTCACTGCACAAGCGACGGGGTGACCTTTACCAATCGTCTAACCTCTGTGCTTCTGAGCTATAACTTGGCAATATAAAAATAGAGGGAAATAATAATTATTTAATTGACTAGATTACTGTGAACTTGACGTGAGATGATGGGGGAAGGTAAGCCTTATAGACTGTATGTCCTCATGAAGATAAGTTCTCCTTCTGTGTGTATGTTATCTGTCTGTCTGTCTGTGTGTGCATCCATAGTGAGCATGTATATGTGTATGTATATATATGGAGGTCAGAGGTCAGCCTTAGTGTCATTTCATAGGTGCCATCCATCTTTTTTTTTTAGATTTTATTTATTTATTTATTATGTATACAACATTCTGCTTCCATGTATATCTGCACATTAGAAGAGGGCACCAGATCTCATAACGGATGGTTGTGAGCCACCATGTGGTTGCTGGGAATTGATGGCTCAGAGGTTAAGAGCACCAACTGCTCTTCCAGAGGTCCTGAGTTCAATTCCCAGCAACCACATGGTGGCTCACAACCATCCATCTTGGTTTTTAAGATGGGTACTCTCACTGGCCATGAGTCACCGTTAGGTTAAGCTGGCTAGCTAGAAAACTCGAGGTCCCCTCCTATCTCCACTTCCCCAGAGCTGAGATTACAAGTACACACCACCGTGGCTGGCATTTTTGTTTGTTTGTTTGTTTTTTTTGGTTTTTTGAGACAGGGTTTCTCTGTGGCTTTGGAGGCTGTCCTGGAACTAGCTCTTGTAGACCAGGCTGGTCTCGAATTCACAGAGATCCACCTGCCTCTGCCTCCCGAGTGCTGGGATTAAAGGCGTGCACCACCAACGCCTGGCGTGGCTGGCATTTTTACATGGGGCTCAAACTTAGGTCCCCATGCTTGCATGACAAACCCTTTATCCCTTTAACCAGTTCCCGGCCCTAAATTTCTCTTTGCCTGCAGATGAAGTACATGTTTATGCCCTAGAGCTAGTGATTGGAACCAATTACCTCTGTCCCTTCCTGGCTCTCCTCCCCAATGGTCAACTGACCTGCTCCTCTTCCCCAAGGCAATGAAGTCTGTTGACAACACCTGCTCATGATACCCATGGCTCCCACCCTTGATAGCTGAGGGGATCTTACCGTATTTACTTGCTGAAGTCCTGGATACTGTGGAGTTGTTCACTGCATTATAGGCTGTCACTTGCTTGGACACCAAAGCCACCACAGAACCATCCGGCACCTACAGGGTAGAGGCTTCTAAGGACCTGGGCATGGAAACTCTTCCCACCCATTCCAGGAAATGGGAACAAATTAGGATTATTGGGGGAATGAGGGACAATTAGCACCTTGCTGGGAACTTGGGCTTTGGAGACTACTCCTTTCCCTCCTAATAAGACATGGCAAAGACCTTAGTACTAGATGTTTTATGGCTTCTGTAGAGAGAAAGTTCTGGCAGGAACCCTTCCCTCACTTTTCCCTACCCAGGCTTTCTGGTGATCACCCAGCCTTAAATGCTCAGGAGGCCTTCTAAGCAAGGGTCCTTGGGGAATCTGCCCACAGCCTACAAGAAGCATGCATGTTACTATCCTACCTCCCACGTGACTAGGTGATCTCTGGGTGACATCAGCTTCCCTTGGGTCACCAAGGATCATGGATTGCTGGTGAAGAATGCATTGGGGACTTGGAGTCTAACCTCAGTGGCTGCGATTTAAGACCTTCTTGACCAGCTCCTGGCTTTTGTGGTCAGCTCACCTGGTAGTGGGCTACTGTGTTGAGTCTCTTCCAGTCATTCTCAATCTTGGTGGTGATATCTTCATCCTGTAGGATCATCCTTGCCCCACTTCCCTGTCGCCACTCTGCAGGGAGAGTGGTTGGCAATTCAGAAAGGCCTCCTGGTCCCTCCTGGGAGCATCCTATGTGCTCCATATAAGTATTACGTAGTGCCACCTCCAGAACACATTCAGACTGACTAGTGCAAGCACAAGTCCCCCAGGGGTGAATTTAGATGTTCTCAAGGCAGAGAGGGCCCTGAGTTCTGGTCCTAATTCAGTGAATCAAGTCAAAAGAAAGGGAGGGTGCATAACACCGCCTGTCCTGCCCTGCACCTGTTTGCTGTGAGTGCTCACCACATCAAGAAGGGCTGTGCAGTGTATGTACATAGGGTGAATGAACTAGGAACTCAATGAGACACACAGTGCTCGTCACAGCGTTGACAAATGTAGGTGGCACCGTCACAGCAGCTCCACTCACTGGTTATACTGGGAAGTCCCTGACCTGATGAAACCTATGTTGCTGGTCTCCAGTCACTGTGCCCCTTCATCTTTTCCCAGTGGCATGCCTTGTGGGAAGAGATGGGGTACCCTCAGAAGAGGACTGTGTTTTTTAAAAAAAAGTGTTCTTATATCCCTGAACTCCCATCTCCACAAAACAGATGTGGATAGCCTCCATCTTGGGATCTAGACAGCACTTAATCATTTTAGTATATATTTTTTTTATTTTTATCATTTTTTATTTGAATTAGAAATGAGACTGATTTACATGACAATCCCAGTTCCCTTCTCCCTCCCATCCTCCCCTACCACGCCCCCAACTAAAACCCTATCACATACTCTTTCTTCTATTCTTCCCCTGACTCAACATATATACACACATACATAGTAAATCCCTACCTCCCTGTCCCCCACGCCAGTATCTACACCCCAAGGCCTTGCTGATGGATCACACAGAGGGAAGGAACTAAGAGCTTTCTTCTCATCAACAGAAAACCTCTGTCCTATTTAGCTCAGATCGCATGTTGAAGGAGAAGGGCACATTATAATATTGAAATATGCATGTGAAAGCATATGTATACAGCAGCCCTACTACATGCACTCATGTTTCTGTATGTGTGTGTTCACGCGTGTGTATGCACAGATATCACTCCTATGAGCACATACCCAAAAGGAATTTCAGTCTTTTAAAGTCAAACAAAACATGTGTCCTGGCCAAGAAGCTGCTGGTCTGGCTTCCAGGCAGTCCAGACAGTGCTTCCTGGCTCACAGCTGCTGGTGCTCCCGAGCTGTGCAGAGCACACTGACTGGGCTTGCTCAGAGTCCGTGAAGATAGATGCAGGCATCTCTTGCATCACACTGCCTGTCTGGCCTGCCAGATTTCTTATTCCTGTGAACCCTAGAGACACATGCGCAGATTCCCTACTTTGTTTCCCTCCTGCCAAGGTCAGGCTGTGCCTCCCCTTCTGGCCCCATTTGAGGCACAGAAAGTCCTACTTCTTCCTCATTGTGCATGCTGTGGTTAAAACTGTTGACTCCACCAGGCATGGAATCCAGGACCAGAAGGGAAGCATCTTGCCCTGAGGAGGAGCAGAGGAGATCCTGATTTCCAAGCCCAGCCTTGCTTTACCAGGGCATCCTCAATGCCCAGCTTAGCACCATGCTAAGATTCCAAGGAATGGGTCTATTGTGGTCAAGCAGCTGATTCTCAGCGCAGTGGACCCCACTGAAGAGCAGCTGAGCTGAGGAACATGGCAGCCGGCACCTTCTGCTTGCATGGTGAATGATGCCAGGGGAGTCAGAAGCTGTATGGATGGCATGGGGGCAGCACACCACAGAGGGGGGTCGGCATTCTGCACTTGCACCTATCAGCTGGGCTGGAGAAGGTAGTCCCTAAGGTCCAGCTCCTAGCCTCCAAGCATATGGTATCCTCTCTAGTAGAGCCACAGAAGTCTTGGTGGCATCTGAGCAATGATAACAAGCTACTGATTCTGGGGCACAGTGCAGGATTTCCATTGCAAAACTAAGCCCTGAAATTGTGCAAGGCCCAGCCTGTGCAGACATACTTAGCAGCCATGGTTGTGAGTCTTGTCCAGTAATTATATAAGCAAATGGGAGTCAGTCTGTTTCCATGCCCCCATTCAAAAAAGTAGGGCAGAAAAAGGCCGAGTCTCCCCCCTAGGGCACAGACTGTCCTTGGAGTAAGAAATTAATGATGCTAGATGCCTACCAGCAGGGCTTGCATGGTGCACCAGACACAGGAAGCACCTGACAAATATTCACTCAATGAAAGAATAAGGAAACAAGCAAATGAAGGAAGGGCACCGGTGACTTGGTGATGGTTGCTTGTTTTATACAGAGTAAAAAGAGGACCTCCTCACATTTGCATGTGTACATCCATAGCAGATGGACAGTGAGCTACAGTTGGAGGGGAACTGTGAGCTGCTGCTAGCAACCTGGGAGAAAGGGATTATGGGAACTGAAAAATGTGACCTGGTCTTTGATCATCGTCCCACATTCCACCAATAGTACAACTAGGAAAATGAAAAACAGGTCAGTTCAGGAAGCCAGACACAGAGGCCATCAGGCCAGGCCACTTTTCATTGTGTACTGGCCAGCTGAGCTCACACCCAGGGATCTTCGAAGACTCCTCCTCTGGGGTCACTCAGTGTCCACAAAGGAGTCCCTGTGTTCTGGGCATTCTCGGTGCAGACAATGCCCAGCCACCCATGTGCTGGGAGGAGGAAGGGAAAGGAAGGGATGGACTTGCACCCTCACCTGTGGCCAGGCTGATGCTGGCATGTGGCTGCTCTGAATAAACCTCCTACTTGTAGCTCAGGGGTCTGATAAATCACTGGCTGTGTTCAGTGGTCCTGGAGCTTCCCTTTCCACAGTGTCCTGCCATGTTGGTGAGATGTTTTCCCCACAGCCAAGACACTGGCAAGGATGCTGGGCCGTGGGCAGGCAAGACACATACCACTGATGCCAATGCTTGGCCATGGGGTCTAGGGCTACAAGAGCAGCCTCCGGGCTGCCCCGTCTTACATCCCCCAACCCAGCCCCATGCTTGGGCAGGCACATCTGTGTGTATATGGGAGGTGGCAACTATTGTCTTTTAGTCTCAAACAGTTAAGGATGTCTCCTTAAATATCAATATAAGGACTGTAAGATGGAATTAAGGGGCACTTAGCCTTGCTTTCAGAACCCTTAAGCCTGTTATTTTTGTTACTTCTTACACAGAAAAATTGCTATGTGCTTTTTACCTGAACGATTAGAAAGGTTTTTTTAAAAATGAAGTTCTGTGCCATCCCAATCCACTGTTGATGGAAGAAAACCTGGGGGCTGGGTAGATAGCTGCTATTGGAAATTCCATTCCCTGGGTCTGTGATAAAGAGGCAATGGCTACCAAGCAGCCACAGAGCTGATCTCTGGGTGGATGGGAGTTCGGGAATACAATTGGAAGGCACCCCTAAATTCCCAGGTAGACTTTCAGTAGTACATCAATAAGGAAACTGCTCCCCAGGACTTGGCCAGGGTCACCACATTTATCCCATTGGAGCACACTTTTCCCACTGTGTGTCTATGCTGACCAACCTCCCATGCTGTCCTAGAACCTCCCAGAGGCTAGCTCTGGCCTCTGGCTTCCCACCCATATACTGTTCTGTATGTCCTATGCCCATGATGTTGAAAACCCAGATTCGGAAGACCCAGAGTTCCAGTTGTCAGTCATCCATCTGTACTCTCACTTGCCCCCCCATTCATTCATTCATTCATTCATTCATTCATTCATTCATTCACTCAGTCACCTCTTCACCAAATAAATATTAAACATTTCCCTTGTCTTTGGTAGGCTGCGGGAAAGATCCTACTGTGGACTTGGGCTCAGCCTCTGGATGCTCTTGTCCTTCTTCATGATCTTGCCCTGGTAGTGGGAGCCATTGAGCTCTAGGGAGGAAGGCAGGCACAGCGAGAGGCCAAATCAAGTCAAAGCCAGTCACTCTCCCTGTCCTATGAGCATCCATCACCCTTGATTTGCATGCTGGGTCCATAAACCCTTACCCCTCTCCAGGAGTGAGAAATCTAAGAAGAGCTTGGGAGGTAGAGTGGACCTTCCAGCTTAAGACAAGAGGGGCAGAGCCCAGGGCCCCATGCTGCCCGTACCACTGTCTTGATCAGTTCAGGAGGCCCTTGGGAGGGGCCAACCCTTATTTTTGTGCTCCATATTATTGCATGTTAAACATTAAGTGTTAAAAAAAAAGAGAGAGAAGGAATAAAAGAGCTCAGGTCTCCAAATCCCTAGTTCTATGCTCTTTGCACCAGACGAGTATCTACTATAACCTAGGAAAACCAGTATTAAAATACTCTTGGACTGGTGAGATGGCTCAGCAGGTAAGGGGCTTGCTGCCAAGCCTGAAAACCTGAGTTCAATCCCCAGGACACACAGTGTGGAAGGAGAGAACTGAGTTAAGTTGTCCTCTAATTTCCATATGTGTGATATAGAATCCATGTGCTTCCATATCCCACCACATGTGCCTAAAATAAGTTAATTAAAATGTGGTAAAAATTATAAAATAAAAGCTGTCTCTTTGTTTACCTGTTTTGCTCTGTATGAGGCGGCCATATCAGGATAGTCAAGGGACAGTGGAACAAGTCGGCCAATGGCAGTGTTCTGGGTGGATGCAGAGTCCCTTGGGGCTGCCCTAAATGCCAGTGAGGGAGTAAAAATCTCCTCTAGGTACTTAATGAGATGGCAAGCTCAGTGACTGACATGAACCTTGGTAACTCTTGGCAATACTTCTGCAGATGAGGATACCGACCATACCATGTGGAAGAGGTGTCTGCTGTGACTACCATGTTGAACAAGCAAACGTGGAAAGTCCCAGAGTACCACTCTCACACTACATTTATTGTTGGCATGGGGATCTAGGCAATGCAGTGCCACACAGGTAACAGAGGCGAACAAGACCCTTGTCTTTACTGAGCTCTCCAAGCGGCTGGATGGAGAAAGGAAGGAGTAGAGTGTGAGGGGAGCCAGGGCTGCTCCACTGGACTGTGAAGGGCAGTACACCTCTGCCTAGCTTACAAGA